CCTGTGAGAGAACTAGAGGACCCACCTGTGACAGCTGTGAGAGAACTAGAGGACCCACCTGTGACAGCTGTGAGAGAGGACCCACCTGTGACAGCTGTGAGAGAGAGAGGACCCACCTGTGACAGCTGTGAGAGAGAGAGGACACCTGTGAGAGAACTAGAGGACCCACCTGTGCTGCTGTGAGAGAGAGAGGACACCTGTGAGAGAGAGAGGACCCACCTGTGAGAGAGGACACCTGTGAGAGTGGACCCACCTGCTGCCTGTGAGAGAGGACCCACCTGTCAGAGAGGACACCTGTGAGAGCGGACCCACCTGCTGCCTGTGAGAGAGGACCCACCTGTGAGAGAGGACCCACTTGTGAGAGAGGACACCTGTGAGAGCGGACCCACCTGCTGCCTGTGAGAGAGGACCCACCTGTGAGAGAGGACCCACTTGTGAGAGAGGACACCTGTGAGAGCGGACCCACCTGCTGCCTGTGAGAGAGGACCCACCTGTAAATGTGGCCACGATGCTTCCAGAGTTGGGTCGTCCTCCTCTGGGTCGAAGTCAGGATTGTCATTTGGGGGAAGTGTTCGGAAAATATTACACGCAATCTGTAGAAAGATGGGAACAATGGATTGTCATTTAGGAAAAATCTTTGGAAAATATTACAAAAGTAATCAGCAGAAAGAGGGCAATATTACCATGATCACACCTTGATGGGGGTCCGGCACTTGCAACACAGTAAGTCCCAGAACTACTGAAGGCTGGAGGTGGTAAAGCCAGGAACAAACACACACACACACAAACACACACACAGACACACACACAAACACACACACAAAAGAAGAGAGATCAGGATAATAGTAGATGTTTGAAAAGAAAGCAGGAGCAAGCCATATGAGAGCACCCGCCAACCACCCGCTCCCCTCTCCATGGTACAGGCAATCTCATCAATCTGCAAACAGATGGGTACCCGGTACGGTATGCCCGGTATGGTGTGCCCGGTACGGTATGCCCGGTGCGGTATGTGACCATATCTGGAGGACAGAAGCAATCAATATCTGACCACACTCAGAACAACACAACGGTACACAGTAAATACATTTGTTGGCCGTTGCCTATTCCTAGCATGTACTGAGACCTGAACCAGTGACCGGGAAACCTCACATTTCAGTGACCGGGAAACCTCACAGTTCAGTGACCGGGAAACCTCACAGTTCAGTGACCGGGAAACCTCACAGTTCAGTGTCCGGGAAACCTCACAGTTCAGTGTCCGGGAAACCTCACAGTTCAGGGTCCGGGAAACCTCACAGTTCAGTGTCCGGGAAACAGTTCAGTGTCCAGGAAACCTCACAGTTCAGTGTCCGGGAAACCTCACAGTTCAGTGTCCAGGAAACCTCACAGTTCAGTGTCCAGGAAACCCTGGCAGGGACAAAATCTCTCCTCAACAATTGTGGCCTCGCTGGCCTAGTGTCTCTCCTCAACAATTGTGGCCTCGCTGGCCTAGTGTCTCTCCTCAACAATTGTGGCCTCGTTGGCCTAGTGTCTCTCCTCAACAATTGTGGCCTCGCTGGCCTAGTGCTTGTCATTTCCCATAGCAGCTGTAAGGTAGTGAGTTCAAATCCCGTCAGGGGCCTGACATATGTGTCCTTGAAAAAGTTCCTCATTCCCACCTCGGGGTGGAGGGGGGAGGGGGGGGGGGGCGCGCACCTGGCTACGCACAGTGAAACATCTTGCCAGTTTGTTTGTTTTTTAACATGTGCACTCTGCAGCTTGCACTGTATGCTTCTCAGGATGACAAGAATGTTTCTGAGTGTTCTCGGGTCTACTGAAGTAACAATAGTTGTAAAGCTGTCCTATTGTACTTCTAGTGTACTCCCAGCTGTCCTATTGTACTTCTAGTGTACTCCCAGCTGTCCTATTGTACTTCTAGTGTACTCCCAGCTGTCCTATTGTACTTCTAGTGTACTCCCAGCTGTCCTATTGTACTTCTAGTGTACCTCCAGCTGTCCTATTGTACTTCTAGTGTACTCCCAGCTGTCCTATTGTACTTCTAGTGTACTCCCAGCTGTCCTATTGTACTTCTAGTGTACTCCCAGCTGTCATATTGTACTTCTAGTGTACCTCCAGCTGTCCTATTGTACTTCTAGTGTACCTCCAGCTGTCCTTTTGCACTCTCAACCTAAACTGTCTATTTTCAGGTTGTGCACAACAATAGACAACACCATGAGTTCACTCAATAAATCTCTCAGATTTCAGAATCAAATGTGACAACTTCCACTGGGTAGTAAAATAGCAACCACTCGTACTATGCTGTACATTTCACCATTCCCCACCAAAACAAACAACTGAGAGACAGGCTTGACAAAAACCAATCAGATCCAAAGATGAGCTCTTCCCAACCGAGCATCTCCACCTATAATTGCTCCGATCAATATGCCCTTCACAGGGACAAAAGTCTCAAGGTAAAGGGAAGATAGCTCACCGACTGCTGCTTTGTCTGTTGGCGGAAAAAAATGCACATCGACACAATACGGAAATTTTTCACCAACCCCTGAACTTTGACGGTCGATCCGATAGACTTCAGTAAATATTGTGCACCCCCTTCTACGTCAGTTTTAAAAATGCATTTACGGTTCACCTCCAATCACAGGAGAGTCCATGTTTTCTTTAACGTCCCTGGCTTCCTTTTCCCCCGAGCCGTGTCACTGGCAGATCGCGGGCCGCCTACAATCTACTCTACAATCTCAGGCTACTCACTACAATCTCAGGCTACTCACTACAATCTCAGGCTACTCAATCTACTCTACAATCTCAGGCTACTCACTACAATCTCAGGCTACTCACTACAATCTCAGGCTACTCACTACAATCTACTCTACAATCTCAGGCTACTCACTACAATCTCAAGCTACTCACTACAATCTCAGGCTACTCACTACAATCTCAGGCTACTCACTACAATCTCAAGCTACTCACTACAATCTACTCTACAATCTCAGGCTACTCACTCCAATCTCAGGCTACTCACTCCAATCTCAGGCTACTCACTCCAATCTCAGGCTACTCACTCCAATCTCAGGCTACTCACTCCAATCTCAGGCTACTCACTACAATCTCAGGCTACTCACTACAATCTCAGGCTACTCAAGGCCTACCGCGCTTCGACTTAACCCACTCAGTACCATAACGGCTGTAGCCAGCCGCTTCCGTTTCATAAGCCTAGTACCAAACAGCAGTTCACACGGGTCGCGCAAGCTAAGATCGAGCGTTCTTCGCAAGCCGCCGGCATTGCGTTCAGACTTATTGAGGCGAACTTTTGGATAATTTTAATGAAAGTATCAGTGCTTGTGGAGAAAACCCAGAGAATGGCAGCAATTGAAGTGAAAGTGACATTGGTGGTGATCTAATTGTGCCTTGGGGGGGGGGGGGGGGGGGGATTCGGGCAATGAGAATGAGGTCAATGAGGAGCATATGACTAGATCTAGATCTAGATCTAGATCTACAACTCGGCTGATTTTATCTTCAATTATGAAATACAGTCAACACACACAGTAAACAAGTAATTTTTAAATTAAAATTTATTAATTTGTGAAGAACTTGTTTCAAAATTTTTTTTTATCAATGGATTGGTTATTTTATAATGGTTTTTTCAATATACCCAGTACATCACAAACATAGATTTCTTCCCCTTTGCGTGGTCCTGAGCCATCTTCCTACTGGCAATCCAATGGTACTGACTGGGTCAAGGAAAGGGTGGAATGAAACAAAAGACTGTGGAGCGGATTTGGGAAGTTCTAGCAACTGTGGAAAATCACGGGTCAGAGGACAATTGTGACCCCTGATTTAGGAGACCTGTGAGGGCCAACCTGGGCTGAGAGCATACAACATCCCGGCAGAAAGACTGAGATTCTCAACGACAATTATCCCCACTCAGGAATCAACCCAGTTTTCCCTACAGTCATACATTGGTCAATCTATCTATAAAAACAACAAATGACAACTGACCAATGACAATGAAGATGCAAAAATGTCAGGTTATGTGTCTTACCATACGAACGATCTCCGGATAGACCGGTTCCGCGAGAACATTGCGCGTGGCAGTGATGTAATCAACCAGCTCATTCAGACAGGCTCTTTTTATCTCCTTGCTCTTCAAATCGGCGACCGGATCCATGAAGTCAAAGACCACACAGCATTGCTGCAGCTTCTTGATGAACAGCTCCTGCTGCTCATTCTGCGGGGTATCTGGGGAAACAACATACATTGTTGGCTCACTCGTTTATTTATTCATTCATTCATTCATTGTCGGGTATCTGGGAAAACAACACACATTGTCGGCTCATTCATTTATTCATTCATTCATTGTCGGGTATCTGGGAAAACAACATACATTGTCGGCTCATTCATTTATTCATTCATTCATTCATTTATTAATTCATTCATTCATTCATTCATTTATTCATTCATTGTCGGGTATCTGGGAAAACAACACACATTGTCGGCTCATTCATTTATTCATTCATTCATTCATTTATTAATTCATTCATTCATTCATTCATTCATTCATTCATTTATTCATTCATTGTCGGGTATCTGGGAAAACAACACACATTGTTGGCTCATTCATTTATTCATTCATTCATTGTTGGGTATCTGGGAAAACAACATACATTGTCGGCTCATTCATTTATTCATTCATTCATTTATTCATTCATTCATTGTCGGGTATCTGGGAAAACAACACACATTGTTGGCTCATTCATTCATTCATTCATTCATTCATTCATTGTCGGGTATCTGGGAAAACAACATACATTGTCCGCTCATTCATTTATTCATTCATTGTCAGGTATCTGGGAAAACAACACACATTGTTGGCTCATTCATTTATTCATTCATTCATTCAGTGTGGGGTACCTAGAAAAACAACACACATTGTTGGCTCATTCATTTATTCATTCATTCATTCATTCATTGTCAGGTATCTGGGAAAACAACATACATTGTCCGCTCATTCATTTATTCATTCATTCATTCATTGTCAGGTATCTGGGAAAACAACACACATTGTTGGCTCATTCATTTATTCATTCATTCATTCAGTGTGCGGTACCTAGAAAAACAACACACATTGTTGGCTCATTCATTCATTCATTCAGTGTGCGGTACCTAGAAAAACAACACATTGTGGGGTACCTAGAAGGAACCTGTCTTAATGTCCTAACCTAACCACCTCCACACTGTTCACCTGATAGATGTCCTAACCTAACCACCTCCACACTGTTCACCTGATAGATGTCCTAACCTAACCACCTCCACACTGTTCACCTGATAGATGTCCTAACCTAACCACCTCCACACTGTTCACCTGATAGATGTCCTAACCTAACCACCTCCACACTGTTCACCTGATAGATGTCCTAACCTAACCACCTCCACACTGTTCACCTGATAGATGTCCTAACCTAACCACCTCCACACTGTTCACCTGATAGATGTCCTAACCTAACCACCTCCACACTGTACACCTGATAGATGTCCGACCTAACCACCTCCACACTGTTCACCTGATAGATGTCCTAACCTAACCACCTCCACACTGTTCACCTGATAGATGTCCTAACCTAACCACCTCCACACTGTACACCTGATAGATGTCCCGACCTAACCACCCCAACACAGCCTATCTATAATACATTGCCACAACAGCTGATTGGTCAATATTTCTCTCACTATCACAGAAAAAAAGCTCTCCTTAGTGGTTCCCCCGAGCCACTGACCCACAATGTCTGCTCGGGTCTAAGCAAGATTGCCATACAGTTTCATCATCACAGAATAACAATCAGAAGTTTGTTTCACACTCATGACCTCTCAAAGATTATGTAATAAGTTATTACAAAACCATCTTGACTGGCATTGGTATGGTGTAGATCTGGCATCATTTTATCTTTTTCATTGCGACAAGTTTCACAAGGAGTTCCGCACAAGCCTGGCCTACCAACAACACAAAAAAGAGGGCATAAAAAAAAGTTGGGTTAGTATTTTGGAAAAATACCGTATGTTCGTGGCTTTAGCAGGGGGGAACGACACCCCACCCCCCTCCCCTCCTTCCAAAAACAGAAGTCTGTATTCTCAATAGTCGACAGAAGGTAATAGCAGGAGGAGTTCCGCAGAGGGCCGGCACTTACATGGTCCACTGAGCAATCTACAAGAGTTAGGGTTTAGGGTTAGGGTATACCCCGCTCAAAATATCCCCTCTTTTGTTTGTTGTTGGTTGGCCAGCCCTCTGCGGAACTCCTTCCGTAATGGCGGATTCGAATTTGTCCTCAACTGGAGCTGTCAAATGTGCTTTGCCCTAAAACGGTAGCTGGCCTAGTCGTCAAATATACCAAAATGTAAGTCATCAATTGTGTCAGGACGCCATGGAACAAGGCACTCGTCAAGTTTTGGCCATGTGGAGTTATTGGTATCATCTGACAGCTCATTTATTTGCTTTGCTTCAAATGAAATAAATAAACATATCTTGAATAGAACTCTTGAGATATTTGCGATTGAAGGAAGTGAGGTCGCCTGGTTTCAGTGATGAAATTAACGAGAAAATGGTTGCCAAAGTCTGATGACTCCAACAGCTAAAGAGTCCTTCAAAACAGAAAAATGATATATTTTAAGCCTTTAATCAATGTTTTTCAGTAAAATTCACATGGAAATGTGTTTTTATATGGACATAAAAGAGGTTGAATGAGCCAGAAAATAAAAGTTTGATTAAAATTTCCAAACTGACGGAAAACGGCTGCTTCTCCGATTTCTGTATTTTGACGAGCGCCTGATTTCACCACACTGCCCCACAACTGAATTCTTCAAGTGCACCAACTCTTGTATAGTTTGCGTAGACCTTTTTTTATCACAGTAAGTGCTGGCCCTCTCCGGAACTCTCCCCAGGATTCTGAAGTTGAAATTATTTTTCAAAATCTTTCCAGGACAAGTTGTAACCATCCCAACCTACAGCTCAGGACGCCAAGATCTCCAGTTGTCAAAGCAGTTACTTTTTTTTAAAATGCCACAGTAGACTTCTTGGCGCTTTTTCGGTAGTTCCCACCCCGCAATTGTTATTCGCGTGTTTTGGCCCCAAGAGTAGGGGGGTTGACCTAAAAAAAAATAAGGCAGGCGCTATTTGCAACGCTGCGTTCTAAATAGCTCCCGCGCTATTTGAAACGCCAGTTCTAGAATCTAGATCTAGATCTAGTAGCCATCGTTCCTACATGATAATATTGTAGTTCTGCCTGAATTGTGGAAGCTTTCTCAGTTTCTTGATATAAACCTCCAAGGATTTGATTCCTTTTTAATGACGTTGTCTTAATCCGATCAATATTGGGTAATCTAGATCTAGATTCTAGATTAGATCTAACAATTGTTTCTGACATTGTTTGCACAAAAGTAGACTAGACGTAGTCTTGTTTGTTTATCTCTCATAATCATAATCATTAAAATTTGAGTTTTGAGTTTGAGGAAAGACACTTATATAAATCCTGTCCGCAGTGTCGTCATACAATAGATTCTAGATCTACCTAAAAATGTTATCTCTTTAAGTTAGGCCTAGAGAACGTATACAAGCTATATATTTACGTTCGCTAGGCCTAGATCTAAGTCTAATGTTCAGCGCTTCCAAGCGCGGCATCGAATCTTGGTTGAGGAAGTTTAAATTTTTTTCTTCTCCTGAGCCTTAAATTAAAAAAAAAAAAATTTAATTAGACTCACAGACCAAGGAAAGCCACTATTGAACTTTAACCAGGCCTAAATTGTTAAAATCAAAAGTATAGGCTATACTAAGGCCTACTTTGTAGAGAGCTCCTCTTGGGGACAAAACCAGAATGTGCATGCTTCATCACTTCATTAAAAAATCTACACAGCAACAAGTTATATTAGATATCTAATTATGGGGGAAATTTGTTGGTCAGTCGAGTAAACCAAAAAAAAACAAAACAAAAAAACTTCCAGGACCTGGATCGAACCCACGCTCATAAAATAATGGTTTGCTTGGCTTCAAACGCAGACGCGCTGTCACTTTGGCCATCAGATTAAACTTCATATAGCCTAGGCCAACACACTGCGTTTTATTTAGCACTGGCGCTAATGGCAACGCGGCGTTGGAAATAGGCACTTCCGAAAAATAAGGTGGGGGTTTCATGCCCCCCTGATTTTAGTCATAATTTGATGTTTTGCAGTTGTTAGGTTTGATATCTTAGTTCGCCGCGCATCAAACGTATAGGTCTAGATGTAGATCTAGGCTCAAATAAGGGGCGTGGGAACTACCGTTAAAAGCACCGACTTCTTTCCCACTCAGCAGAAGAGTGACAGAGGGAGAGGTGATTTACCCTCAAGTGTTTCAAAAACAACAAATCTACAAATGTCTTCTTTCTTTTCTTAATATATATAGAAACATAAATATTCTTACCAGTATAACCCGCAGTTATTTGAAACAATATGATAATCATTGGTCATGGTATAGCAGACAATGAGGTAACACCCAATCTCAGGCTTAGGTCGAGTGAATGAGGTCAACTCCATGCCCAACTTCTACCTAGGCTATATTAACTCATCTTAACAATATTGAAACCTAATAGCAATTGACTAGCATTACGTTTAGCCTACATATATGACAAAGTTTCTTCAGTGACTAGGTAGGTGGTAGTGGTATGGCTGTCAGACAGTGCTGGCCAACTTTGGAGAGTGAGTTCTAGATCTAGATTTAGATCTAAATCTAGATCTAGAATCTAGAGATCTAGCCATTCAGTCAGGGTATCTAAAAAGAGCTGGACGGGTACTACTTGGAACTATTAGTTTCATAATGTATCTTGCTGAAAGAAAGTACACAAATTTTGCTTGGACTGTTATTCTTGCGCAGTACTGGCAAATTATGAACATCTTCAAATTCTAGCAGTGGTTCTCACCTTTCAAATGAGGTAATGCCTGGAGTTCTGGTGCAGTGTTAGCACGATAATGTGAGGATCCTTGCGATCTCTTTTGTTTCTTTGATTTGACGGCAGCCTTGTTGGTGAAAGGGTCAATGCGATCTGCAATTTTTGCCGACATAGTGTTGTTTTGATAACTGCGGTAAAACCGCTTTAATTTATAGCTAAATCAATTCACATGTGCATCAAGAGTGTCTTAGACATGTTATTTGCAGACTTTCCATAAAATCCGTGGATACACTTGACAGCAATATGAGACTTCTTCATAAAACGACACAATACGTCCTTGTTGGTGATATATTACAGGAAGTACCAAAACAATAAATCCCAATCACCAAAACAGAACAATGGCTGGTGATTTGGGCCGAATAAACCCAAGTACACGGAAGAAAACAAAATATCACAGTGTGTTGCTACTCAGATAATGGTTGCCCATTTCTCGTCTTCATTCCAGAATCTCGAGACTTCAGCGGGAACTCAGTGTGACCTTGAACTAAAAGGTCAAGGGGTCAAAGGTAGGCGTGCCATTAGGCTGGCTAGGCCTACAACTTTAAAACTTTCATCGTCGCGATGATTCATAGCAACGAAGTAAACTAGATCTGGATCTGTTGCAAAACATCTAGAGAAAACACACACACATGAAAGTTTTCGCGACTTTTATGCTCACAAATGAGTCGAAAGCTACTTAAACATGACATGCAGATATAAAACATCCCCCCTTCCCCCAGAAAGCTAGGCTTGCTTATTCTCTTCTAGTCTATCCTGTGATTTGAGTCAATTTGACGTAGATCTAGATCTAGATTAAATTCTATCTAGATCTAGATTCTAGATCTAAATCTAAATCTAACTGTGTGGTGGTGCGTCTCTCTTGTTGAGGCTGTTGTCCTGTTGTTGTCGTTATTTATACACGCAGGCCTACCCAACATGTACTTGATAACGATCGACTATTTTCCTCTGGACAGGCCGCCTGTGGAGGAGGATCTATTCTACCTTCTGGTATTTCTCGGGCCTAGCTCTATGTACAGTGTATCCACCATCCCGGAAACTCCACGATCTCCCCTTTCCCGAGGCCACCAACTGAAGTTAGGACCCTGAGCTTCTTTATTAGCCTATAGGCCTACTATAGTAGCCAATACGCTCTATACTCTATACTTGGACCTATACGTTCTACTACTTGGACCTAAACGTTCTACTATACGTTCTACTACTTGGACCTATATGTTCTACTATACGTTCTACTACTTGGACCTATACGTTCTACTATACGTTCAACTACTTGGACCTATACGTTCTACTACTTGGACCTATACATTCTACTATACGTTCTACTACTTGGACCTATACGTTCTACAACTTGGACCTGTACGTTCTACTACTTGGACCTATACGTTCTACAACTTGGACCTATTCGTTCTACTACTTGGACCTATACGTTCTACTACTCTTGGACCTGTACGTTCTACTATATGTTCTACTACTTGGACCTGTACATTCTACTATACGTTCTACTACTTGGACCTATACGTTCTACTACTTGGACCTATACGTTCTACTACTTGGACCTATACGTTCTACTATACGTTCTACTACTTGGACCTATACGTTCTACTATACGTTCTACTACTTGGACCTAAACGTTCTACTATACGTTCTACTACTTGGACCTATATGTTCTACTATACGTTCTACTACTTGGACCTATACGTTCTACTATACGTTCTACTATACGTTCTACTACTTGGACCTATACGTTCTACTATACGTTCTAGGGCCTACTACTTGGACCTATACGTTCTACTACTTGGACCTAAACGTTCTACTATACGTTCTACTACTTGGACCTAAACGTTCTACTATACGTTCTACTATACGTTCTACTACTTGGACCTATACGTTCTACTATACGTTCTACTACTTGGACCTATACGTTCTACTATACGTTCTACTATACGTTCTACTACTTGGACCTATACTTTTTACTACTTGGACCTATACCGTTATATACGTTCTACTATACGTTCTACTACTTGGACCTATACTTTTTACTACTTGGACGTATACCGTTATATACGTTCTACTATACGTTCTACTACTTGGACCTATACTTTTTACTACTTGGACCTATACCGTTATATACGTTCTACTATACGTTCTACTACTTGGACCTATACTTTTTACTACTTGGACCTATACCGTTATATATATACGTTCTACTACTTGGACCTATACTTTTTACTGCTTGGACCTATACGTTCTACTATACGTTCTACTACTTGGACCTATACGTTCTACTATACGTTCTACTATACGTTCTACTATGCATTCTACTACTTGGACCTATACGTTCTACTATACGTTCTACTAAACGTTCTTCTACTTGGACCTATGTTCTACAATACGTTCTACTACTACTATACGTTCTACTACTTGGAACTACGTTCTACTATATGTTCTACTATACGTTCTACTATATGTTCTACTACTTGGACCTATATGTTCTACTATACGTTCTACTGTACGTTCTACTATACGTTCTACTACTACTATACGTTCTACTACTACTATACGTTCTACTAAACGTTCTACTACTTGGACCTATACGTTCTACTATACGTTCTACTACTTGGATCTATACGTTCTACTATACATTCTACTACTACTATACGTTCTACTAAACGTTCTAATACTTGGACCTATATGTTCTACTATACGTTCTACTATACGTTCTACTATACATTCTACTACTACTATACGTTCTACTAAACGTTCTACTACTTGGACCTATATGTTCTACTATACGTTCTACTATACGTTCTACTATACATTCTACTACTACTATACGTTCTACTAAACGTTCTAATACTTGGACCTATATGTTCTACTATACGTTCTACTATACGTTCTACTACTTGGACCTATACGTTCTAGTATACGTTCTACTATACATTCTACTACTTGGACCTATACGTTCAACAATACGTTCTACTATACGTTCTACTATATGTTGAACAATACGTTCTACTAAACGTTCTACTACTACTATATGTTCTACTGTACGTTCTAGTATACGTTCTACTATACATTCTACTACTTGGACCTATACGTTCAACAATACGTTCTACTATACGTTCTACTATATGTTCAACAATACGTTCTACTTAACGTTCTACTACTACTATATGTTCTACTGTACATTCTACTATACGTTCTACTACTACTATACGTTCTGCTATACGTTCTACTATACGTTCTACTAAACGTTCTACTACTACTATACATTCTACTACTACTAAACGTTCTACTACTTGGACCTATATGTTCTACTATACGTTCTACTACTTGGACCTATATGTTCTACTATACGTTCTACTACTTGGACCTATATGTTCTACTACTTGGACCTATATGTTCTACTATACGTTCTACTATACATTCTACTACTTGGACCTATACGTTCTACTATACGTTCAACAATACGTTATACTACTTGGACCTATACGTTCTACTATACGTTCAACAATACGTTCTACTATACGTTCTACTATACGTTCAACAATACGTTCTACTATACGTTCTACTACTACTATACGTTCTACTACTACTATACATTCTACTACTACTATACGTTCTACTAAACGTTCTACTATACGTTCTACTATACATTCCACTACTTGGACCTATACGCTCTACTATACGTTCTACTACCTGGACCTATATGTTCTACTATACGTTCTACTACTTGGACCTATACGTTCTACTATACGTTCTACTATACATTCCACTACTTGGACCTATACGCTCTACTATACGTTCTACTACTTGGACCTATACGGTTTTTTTACGCTGACCGTCAAAGCTACGGGTACATGTCACGCGCAAGTCTCACACACAAACACCACACACACACAACCCCCCCCCCCACACACACACATACACACACACACACACACACACATACACACAACACTAATGTAACGCTCAGGTTTTTCCACACAGTAGGATCAACACTTGTGTTTTACCACAGTAGGATCAACACTTGTGTTTTACCACAGTAGGATCAACACTTGTGTTTTACCACAGTAGGATCAACACTTGTGTTTTACCACAGTAGGATCAACACTTGTGTTTTACCACAGTAGGATCAACACTTGTGTTTTACCACAGTAGGATCAACACTTGTGTTTTACCAC